TTATCTCGGTAATAAATTAATTTTTAAATAAAAATATCACCTTCGTAACCATGACTAACAATTCTAAAGATACGATTTATATGGTTGATAATGAATACTCTCCTGGTTGGAACCGTTTCACCTGGCATAGAACTTGTCTTTATGAAAAGTTCAATTTTCCATATAGGGTATAGAAACCATAAAAGTCACTACTTTAAAAGATCATGATTGGCTAGATGTTGTAATCGATCAAGATCCACTTTGATTTGTTATATTTGATTTGACCTCACCCAGATAGAAGTTGTTGTACACAAACTAAGCATTATGAACTGTTTAGAAAACGGCCAAGGGATCAGACCCCGTGACCTAGGTCCAATTTACCGATACAATTTTATGACTTTTAAAATTGTTGGTCACATACGCCAAATATGCTAAAGATATGATAGAAACTTCTTGAATAGACTCCTACTTTATACACAAAACCATATAATCCATGAACCCACCTTACCTCCCGAAATAGACGGCTACAGTTGTTTGATATTCAACAAACATAACTAAAGTCCAAAGAATGATACATAAAATCTTGAGCTATAGTAGATGTTTGATTTTATTTCTACACAACTACAACTGAATATACATCAAATCACCAGTGGGTTCCACGTAACCATTGTATGGTAGCTAATGGACACATGATAGGAGCTATAGATTTTAGCAAAATATAATTTGCCGACGGATACAAACAAAACACATCACTGTTTTCTGTTGGCGACAAGTGGACTCAAATTATGTAACATAGTGATCAAGCCTACTTTATATTTTAAAAATATCTTGCTGTTGGATCAAATTAAGAGCATCAAACTTTTTTTTATTATAAAATACAATAAGGTTATATAAAAATCGGATTTTAATAATGTATTATTCCTTTAAAAGATACAAAAATTTTAAAAAATAATAATTTTGACATTATTTTTCAAATTGTTATAATTTTAACCATCAATCTAGTTGCCAACCGACATGATATATGTGTCGGTATTTTATAGTGTAACTCTAACATACGATGATGATGTGATATTTTGAGTGATATCATTTTGCGTTGTGCTATAAGTACCTTCTTAATCGTATTTACTTTTCTTAAAATCAATCAAATCAAAATTTTGATATTTGATTTGATATCATGTTTTTTTTTTTTGTTTTTTTTTGTTTTTGTTTTTTTTTTCCAATTTATTATTATTTTTTTGTTATTTTTAATTCTTTTTTAATTATTATTATTATTTTTACTATAATTTATTATTATTATTATTATTATTATTATTATTATTACTATTATTTATAAATTTCGTACAAAATTTTAACATTCGGACGACATTATAAATTCGAACGGCTTTATAAAACCGGTTTTTAAATATTTTTTAGTATTTTAATATTAATAATATTATTGTTATTATTATTATAAATTTCGAACAACATTTTATAAACCGGACATTATAAATTCGAACGGTTATATAAAATCGTGCTCGACTAGATATTTTCACTTCGCATAACGCACCACGCAATTGTAATATCGTACAAATTAATATTTGTAATTAATAAGGACAAACTTTGTTTTTGTTCCGATTTTATATAGTCATTCGAATTTATAATATCTGATTTATAAAATATTGTTCGAAATTTATAACAATAGTAACAATAATAATATTAATATTAAAACATAAAAAATATTTAAAAATTGATTTTGTATAGTCGTTTGTATTTATAATGTCATACGAATGTTAAAAGTTTGTGCGGAATAATAATAATAATAATAATAATAATAATAATAATAATAATAATAATAATAATAATAATAATAAAAAATTAAAAAAGAATTAAAAACTAAAAAAAAAAAATAGGAAAAAAAACAAAAAGAAAAAACAATAAAAATGTGTTACAAAGAAAAGATGTAATATTGGAAGGTTTTTTTAATGCTAATTTAGGGGGGCTGAATTGATTCGGTAAAGAGCATAACATGTTATGTTCTCACATTAAGAGGTACGACAATCGATTGGATATACATGTTACAAAAAAGTGATACTATTTCAAACACAGAGACAATATACATGGAAATTGCAAAAGTAATAAATAAGCTTTTGTGGTTGACGAACTTCCATTTAGAACTAAATAGGATGCAACATAATATTGTGGACTACATTGTAAGAATCAGAGTGATTCCTATCATAAATAATTAGGATGCAACAATATTAGTGTATTTGTATTCCTTCTATTTATCATATTTAGCTTGGCCCATTTATATGTATATGGTCGTTGGCTTTTCATTAGCAACCAAAAGCGTTTTATAGTGCTCAAGAGATCCACTCGCCTTGTATTTCTTACGATACAACTACATATAATGCACAATATTTACCTTGTGAGGACACATGAAAAGCACCTAAGTCCTTGTGAGGACACATGATTTGGTAGTTGTGTGAAGGTTAAGGCATTGAACTATTTTAGAAATCCCAGCACGAGATCTAGTGAGATCTAGTGACCTTGGGGTAAGGGGATAGAGGAATGACATAATTGTAAGGATTAGAGTAAGGGCCGATAGGTGGGTTTGGGTCAGAGGGAGTGGAGGTGTTGGTTGTGGGTGGACGGAGAGGGCTAGGAGTAGTGTTGCCGGTCTCGGTTTAACTAGGAAAAGTGGAATTTATTTCGATAGTGGGAGAATCTTACATAAGGAGATCACGTGAGGTAGGGTAATCTAAGATAAGAGTAATCAAGAAATATATATGATGGTGGGTCATTGGAAGTCGTGGATTGAAAGAGAAATATGGTTTCTTTAAACACAACATGGAGGTAGATGAAAATTTTGCTAGTGGCAAAATCAAAACAACGATTACCACAATGATTTGAGGGCTAACCGAGGAATACACATAGAGTGGATTGGGGAGCAAGTTTATGTGGGGTGGGAAGTTGGGGGAAACAAAGGCATCGAAGCACATGAAGATATAAAGAATGCTTTCCTTCATGACAACTTAAATGAGACGGTTTACATGCACTAACAACTAGGATTTAAAGATCCCAATCACCCAGATCATGTTCGTTGTCTTCAGAACTCTCTCTATGATTTGAAACAAGCATTTCGTTCTTGGTTTCAATGTTTCACTACATACATCACATAGATTGGATTAACTCATAGTCGTTGTGGCTTTACTTTTTTTTTTTTTTTTTGAGGGTTACTCTTGTGGCATATTTAGTTCTACATGTAGATGATATTCTTCTCATAACTTCATCCATGACACTTTTACAACATATTATATCCCCTACGACCTTTAAGTTCTCCATATAGGATCTGGGTAAGTTATCATATTTTTTAGGCATTGCAGCTACCTGAGACGACAATGGTATCTTTCTTTCACTTCACAAATATGTGTTCAAGCTTCTTGATAGGGCCAATATCTCCAATTGCAACCCATGTCGAACTCGCACTGATACTCAATCTAAAATGGACACCATAAGCACTCAAATTTTTGACCCTAACTTGTATTCCAGCCTCGCGGGCGTACTTCAATATCTCATATTTACCCGTCCATACTTGTCATATGCAGTGTAACAAATCTGTTTTTTCATGCATTATCCACGTGAACCATAATTTCACGCTTTAAATAACACTCTTTGCTATGTCCGTGGTACTATTGATTATAGGCTTCAACTACATCCTTTGGCTAATATATGCCTCACTGCATACTCTGATGCAGACTGGGGGGTTGGATGTCTCACCGCTAGACACTCTACTGGTGGCTATTGTGTGTTTCTTGGTGACAACCTCTTATCGTGGTCTTCAAAGTGCAATGACAATCTATAGCTCTAATGTAGACGTAGAATACTAACGTGTTTCTAATTTTATAGCGAAAACAACAATTGTCTAATGTGACCACGTTAGCGTTGTGTACCTATCATTAAATCCAGTTCAACATCAGTGTACTAAACGTATAGAGATGAATATTCATTTTGTGGGTCACAAAGTTGCTACCGGTCAAATCCGTGTTCTTCATATGCCATCCACTCTTTAGTATGCATACATTTTCACCAAATGATTTTCAACATCTTTATTTATGGATTTTAGATCTAGTTTGAGTGTATGCTCTCAACCTCCCGCTCAAACTGTAAATGCGTATTTGTGTTTATATATATATATATATATATATATATATATATATATATATATATATATATATATATATATATATATATATATATATTGTATACATTTATCCTATTTAGCTTAGCCCATTCATATGTATTATATAGTTAGCGCAATGGAGCCCAATATACTTCGTATATATGCCTATGATTAATAGTCGAAGGATGGAAAAGTTAGTCTTTCAAATAGAAGATTGTACATTACATTGTGAGAATTAGAGTGCAATTACCATATTCTTGTTTTTTGGTGTCATTATTACTCTTGTATGTAAAATTGTTTATCAAGTTGATGATGACTTGAAGTCATTAACCGTAAGACATATAACTTTAGTATATGTTTTGACATCATACAAAAAACAGTTTAATATAATTTTTTAATCTAATTTGAGGAAAAACGTCGGTTACTATCTTTTTAAAAAGTTATATGGTGCCTCCAACCAGGACGCAAGGAATGCAATAAAAGCTGGGACACACAAAGGCTTGGTGTAACATTAAATAGTGTGTTACCCTTTCGCTACATCAAGCATCAACTGACAATCTGACGGGGACATTTGCGACTAATGAGATTTAATTTACAAACCTTCCAAATTCAAACATTGCAAATTTTATTTCTCATACAGTCTTATAAGAGATTTTGAATAATAATTCAATATTTAAAATATCATTTAATAAGATAAAGTGAACATTTTGTTACACCTAGTTCTATGTATCATAGCAATAAAAAAATATATATACAAGACATATAAGAGGGACATAAATGACTTTCGACATCGACTTCTCATGCGATTGTTTATATAGCTTCCTTTTATTCTCAATCTCAAGTAGTGGTATTCACATTTGCTATGAATACCATAAAGAATAACGATGACAAAAACCCAGATGCTCATCAAAAAGGGTGGCTGAATCTAAGCCTAGCACCATATCTAGGAGAATCTTGTTCAAACTTAAGACGCACGTCGGTGAAGCTGTATACATGCAACTTTTGCAAGAGAAAGTTCTACAGTTCACAAGCATTAGGAGGTCATCAAAACGCGCACAGAAAAGAGAGAGATGCAGCTAGAAGATACAATTCCCCAAAGACCATGAATGCGTTTGAACAATTACTCAAGGTGCATTCCTTTGGTCAAAAACCAGGAGGAGATGGAGAAACAACTGTCGCAAGGTTTACTGACAATGGAGCTCCATATGGAGTTGCTTGGGAACACCCGTATGTTGGGGAGGAAGAAGCAAACATGAAGTGGCATGGAAGTTTTTATTTGATTCCACAACCAGCTTCTCGGGAATCTGATCCGTATAAGCTTGACTTGAATCTCAGGCTGTAACTGGTTGCTCCGCAAAGCTGAATTCCCCCATCAAGGTGATTACCTAAAACACTTCAAGGAGAACATATATCTTTCAATAAGTTAAGACTCCATCACTTTGGAATGAGGTTTGGTAGAATTTCAAAGAGGCCCTTCTATATATGTATTTTCCTAATGCCTGAAAAACCTATATATAGCTGCCTCTCTCATCGCTATCTTTCTAGGTACATATAGATATTTGTGTTTGTATATGTACAGGTATGAATCATGAATGTGATTCCTAGCGTTCAAGAACGATTCCCTATGCAATGAGTATCATCAATTATATAAGAAGGCATCTTACTAAGGTCTTCATCATACACCAAGTACAATAATTTGGTTTGTACCTGGTTGTTCAACACTCAACAGTATTATTCTCAAGGCAAGCCGCTTACGATATCTTTTATAAAGTAGTAATTATATTTTAAACACCGACACTGGATAAGAAAGAGGGAAAATTTTAAATGATTTCAGCCGTAGAAATAAAATTTCATTATATATAAATATATATGGCATAATGACAAAATCCAAAAGAAGACATAAGATACTATAACTTACTTATGACAAAAACAAAAATGAACGTATGGTCATGTGGTTAGCTGAAAAAATCTACTTTAGTTCAAAAAAGTTTAAACTAACATCAGAGATCGAAACTTTTCATTTTGTTGCGAGTTTGGTCCGATTTTGTATAAACTTTTTTATAAAAACGATTTTTTCCCTGATTATTTAATATTTTAATTTTTTTATTACAACAATTAAAAAGAATTAAAAATAAAAGAAAAAAAGATTCTCTCTTCTCTCTCTCATATCATAAAAAAACCAAATTCTCAAATGACCGATTTAAACTTCATTTAAATCATAAATTTCACAAAGAAATGAAATCACGTTTCAAGATAGCCATATGATTTCCATTTTCTAGTTTGTAGATCTGGTCTCTCTCTCTCTCTCTCTCTCTCTCTCTCTCTCAAACAAGGAAACCCACCTGTAAAAATACGAACAAAGTGAGGTTTGTCTGCTCATTGAGTAACACATTGCTTGAAGTTATATCCACGACAATGTTTAATCTTGTGTACTTTTTAGTAGCCCAAAAATAAGAACATGTTGATTTCTTTCTGCTTGAAGCTCTGATACTGACAACCACCTACTTTTCTTTCCTCTTTCTCATTCTTGTAAACAGCTCTCGATTCCTCATTTTCTCTAAATCCTAAGATTCTGTTTTGCAATAAATATGGATTTCCCTCTTTCTCACTCGTTAATATCTTCTCATCAGAGAGTTAAGTCTTCCAAAGACTCCTCCGACGAATTCGACTGTAAGAGTTTATCAGATCGATGTGCACTCTGAGAGGGAGGAAAGAAGAGTCGCTGGAGTTTTTCAGATCTGGAATATTCAAAACAACATCGGCATACCTCGTGTTCTTTAAAACATATTGAAGGATATACCTCGTGTTTTTCAAATCTGCTTTTCTGTTTATGAACTAGGAGGAAGGAGGATGTGAGGCAATGAAATCGATTTTTTGAATTCAATTCCATTATATATAAAAGGTCAGATATTGATGGTTAACCAAACCCAAACCCAAGCTTCAATTCCAAAGCCAAACTCGATGGTCATCTTTTGAAATCGATGATCGTCTTCAGAATTCGACTTCACCTGCTCCCACTTCAACTTTCCGCCCTAAGTTCTTCCTAAGCTCCATTGCCATAACCCAGTTAGAACCCGAATGAACTCGCGTCCTTTTCTGCCATAAACAAGTTAGAGGAGTGTTTCTAGTTTTTCTCAGTGTACCTGTTGTTGGGATAATTTTCTAATGAACACCTCCAGTAGGAGGATTAAGAAGAGTTTTTTTATGATTCTTAACTAGAATTAAACTCATATTTTCATGGAGGCTTAAAGGATTCTGGAAGAAAATTTAGGGTAAGATTGGGTTAACGGGGAGAGAAAGAGAGAGAAAGAGTGTGTGTATATTTTCTTTTTTCTTAGAGAGAGAGAAAATTTTCTTTTTTTTTTTTTTTTTTTTTTTAAAATTCTTTTTAATTGTTGTAATAAAAGAAAATTAAAATATTAAATAATCGGGGGCAAAATTGTCTTTATAAAAAAGTTCAAACTAAATGAGACCAAAATTGCAACAAAATGAAAAGTTTGGACCCCTAGTACTAGTCTAAATTTTTTTGGATCAAAGTGATAATTTTCAGGTAACCACAGGGATCATTCGTACAGTTTTGTCATTTATTTACTGTTAAAACATACATATTAATTACATATTTTAATTTATTTATTTGTCAGGTGAAATTAGGTGTACCGTTAACATAAGGGAACTGCATCGTACACAACAATTTGTGCTTTAAAGTATTGTATTGTACAACTCTATAATGCATAAATTGTTGTGTATGGTAAAAAATTGTTATGTACAAATCACTTCCCTTAAAATAAAAGAGTATATTACAATTTCGGGTGCATACGGTTTGCCCTAATATATATATATATATATATATATATATATATATATATATATATATATATATATATATATATATATATATATATATATATATATATATATATATATATATATATATATACTAGCCGTTACCCGCGCACAGCGGCGGGGACAAATAGCTTCTTTCAACGATATTTTTTAAAGAAAAATGTTATGTTCCAAAAGAAAGTTCACGTCATGGGTGAGAGGAAGGGTGGTAGTCGTGATAGTGGTTGGTTGAAGGCGGAAGGAGGTAGAGCAGCTGTGGTGGTGGTGGTTATACTGTCTTGGTTACTGGTTAGGGTTCTTCGAGAGAGTGTGCGTATATTTCTTACTTTGAAGGGATTACGAAGATAGATATTATGAAATGGCTTGTTACCAATGTGAGAGAAGAGATCCTCTATAAATTGTTGACATTGACCTTTTCAAATGGCTGAAGTGTTGAGATTGACAGGTTCAATTTGCAAATAAATTCTTCTATTAACTTGATACGAGATTTTTAGGGGATAAAGAATAAGGTTAAAGTTTTAATATTATTATATTATAAATGGGTTGTACTTCAAGCTTAATAGTTTGGACGTCTTAAAAAAATAATATTATTATATTCAATTTATTTATAGAAATAGTTAGATTTCTTTTATAAGTAGTAAAGATATATATATATATATATATATATATATATATATATATATATATATATATATATAGTCAAACTTTTAATTTGATATGAGATTCACCGTTAAAGACACCATTCATGTGCCCCTCATATTTGGATAAATTTGTCATTTCATTTTCTATCTCTCCTAAGGCCTTACCACTATTATGTACCTAATTAATTTACATTATCTTCTTCCAAAGAAAAAATCTCATTTATCTTATAACCTTCTTCATCAATAAATGTGTTCATTCAAACGTAATGACTGTATAAAAACTAAAAGAAAAATCAAACATTCAAGATGTGTCAACCCATAATATGAAAAATTCGAGGCTCAATAAGTGAGGTGGATACTTAAGTCGTTTACAGTAAGTTTCACATATCACTCTTTGAGCTTAAATACTTGAAAATGAGGATTTGTTGGGTGTACCGAATCTTTTTACAATGAAAATCAATCATGGTGTTTTTCTCTCCATAGCTCCTGAGGAAGCTACATAGATGGAAATGTAACATACATCAACTATGTTGACATTGACGAGTTCTGTATACATGAACTCAATGTCACCATGAAAGAAATAGGATACACTAAATGAAGCATCCCATATTTCAATAATGAAAATTAGCATAAGTAAGAAAATTGGTTCCGCCAATATCATGAAAATTAGCATAAATAAGAAAATTGGTTCCGCCAATGTCATGTCCACCAGTTTTAAGGTCACTTTAATTTCAAATGATTATGTAACTTCATTCTAAGTTTGCTAGGTCTCAAAATTTAGTAGATGTTGTGTCTTAGTCTTTTGCGATAAGTTTAACGGTAATACCGTCTTCATTGTAATGTTTGTTCTAAATGTAATGTTAGTTTCAAAATTGATTACCTTAAGTTTCAGAGTGACTATACTTAACGGTTTGTATCTTATGTCACGACTTTGGTTCCTTAACCTAATTGATAATCATATATGTAACAACAATCAAAATTAAGTCAAAGACAGTTTTTGAGTATGTAACAAACACATATTATAATAGACTTGCTTTGTAATATATGAAAATCTTTAATGACATTTCGTTTAAAAGTACAAGTTTACACGATTCCAAAAATATATAGAGTGTTTAAATATGACTTCATATAAAGAAGTTATGATCGTACAATAATGTGAGACACAGACATCAAAATAGAGATTGGTTTCTTATTAGCAAACATATATGAATCTATATATTTTTGGAATCATGTAAACTTATACTTTTAAACGAAATTTCATTAAAGATTGTCATATATTACAATGCAAGTCTATTATAATATGTGTTTGTTGCATTCTCCAAAAACTGTATTTGAATATATATATATATATATATATATATATATATATATATATATATATATAAACGCAAATTGAAAATATCGTAAATATAAACCCTTCGATATAAAGAATGTTGAGAACATAATTCATATGGAAAAGTTATGATTTACGTAAGAATTCTAACACTATAGCGTCAATTATTAGAGGAATTTATAACAAGGTGAGAATTAGCTATTGTAATATAAAAGAAAGTTGCAATATTTAGGAATAACTACGCGTGAATATAAAAAACGTCAATAACGGAGCTTGTATGCTAAATATATGATCTTTCAAAGATGTAACGGTCTGTAAGCAAACCATGTGGCAAAAACCCTAAACCTCCATAGGTTATGACATGACAATGTGTATGTCACGACGTGGCATATCCTAGGACACTTCTCAAAGCTAGCAAAACACATGGCAAGGCTACAAGGTGATTCACTTAATGTCATGGATGCATCTTTATATATGACTATATCTTATATTTTTTGTGTTCATGTGTTTTATTTGTTGCTTCAG